GGGGGTGTTAAAAGGGACATAAGCTACGTATAAGAGATGGAGAAGTGATAGAATTAAAAAAGAAAACAAAACAACAACAACACAATGAAATCAAAAGGTTAAAAAAACCAAACCTGGAACAAAAAATAAAACAAAGCACAGAGCACACACACAAAAATTACAAGCACCAAAAGGAAAACTAAACCAAAACAGATAGGGGAAAAAAAAAACTGCTGAAATCAAACTTTGGAAGAACTCCTCCCAAAAAACAGCCACGAAGGTGGGCAAAGAAAAGCAAAACTCGTTGACGTCATGGGGTTTTTTAAACCAGGGAAGCAAAGCAGAATGTGGCTGGGGAAAAAAGAGAGGAAGAAAACGAGAGGAGGGGGAGGTTCGACGTCTTGAATGGAAAAGAAACGTTTTTCCCAAAGGAAGGCATGATCAAAAAGCCGTTTTTAGTAAGTGATTAAGATGCTGGGGGTTGCTCACCATGCGGCATGCAGGAGGAGAAGCTAACGTGGAACTAAAAAGAGATGGTTTCCCAACCTCCATTCCCAATTACGGTGTTAAATAAACTGGAAAGTGCTGATCCAAGAGAATATTTGTAGGTCAGGATTGAATTGTGAGGTCCTTGGTGCTCTCTGAGTTTGGTTGTTTTCTTGCAGACATTTCATGACCCAACTAGCTAACAGCATCAGTGCTAGTGAGTGCGGCTTTCTCCCTGTTTATAGGCAGTAGATCAGAGCACTATGAAGCAGTATAGAAGTCTCAGGGCTATTGCTATTGCTAGCATCAGTGTTAGAACGTAGCACTGGGGAGAAGCTAGCTCTTGTCTAGCACTGATGATGTTACCTAACTGGGTAGTGGAATGTCTGCAAGAAAACAACCAAACTCTGAACTACTGTACAAAGACAGGGAGAGAGTCACACTCACAGCACTGATGATGTTAGGTGGTCAGGTAATGATAGCTCCCGAGGATGTCCATCCCCAGGTGGGGGAATGACAACACCCCCCCCCCAAATTCCCCAGTGAACACGCCATTGCTGAAAATTCTGGGATTCGGAAGAGATGGACTTAATAATAATAATAATAATAGTAAAGTTGGAAGGGACCTTGAAGGTCATCTAGTCCAACCCCCTGCTCAGGCAGGAAACCCTATACCATTTCGGACAAATGGCTGTCCAGTCTCTTCTTAAAAACTTCCAGTGTTGGAGCATTCAAAGCTTCTGGAGGCAAGTTGTTCCACTGGTTAATTGTTCTCACTGTCAGGAAGTTTCTCCTTAGTTCTAGATTGTTTCTCTCCTTGATTAGTTTCCACCCGTTGCTTCTCGTCCTGCCTTCAGGCGCTTTGGAGAATAGCTTGACTCCCTCTTCTTTATGGCAACCCCTGAGATATTGGAACACTGCTATCATGTCCCCCCTCGTCCTTCTCTTCATTAAACTAGACATACTTCAGACAATGGACTTCAGTTCCCAGTTTTTCCAACCCACATTTGGTCTGCGTTGAGATTTCTGGGAGCGCCCTCCAGATCTACAAACTTCAACAACCAGAATTCTGTTGCCCATTTCATTGTGGCTGAGAATTATGGGAGTTGAATACCTCTGTATTGTTTGAAGAAAACCACTGGTGGACATCAAAGAACGAGGTGCAACCACGGACATCAGTAACGTGAAGGTCAAGGGGCAAGCGTGGATGACTACTTGTCCAATCTCATCCTACACCCAAACCAGGGGCTAATGGTGTAGAAGGCAAAAAAGAGGACGGGAGAAACCTACATCTGCAGAAGGGGTGTCAACCCAACGCAAGATGAAGAGCCCAAGAACATGTCTTATTCATGCTTTGATCATGCTGGTGGTGAAAAGGAGAAGTTGGTCCATGTGAAGAGGGTTAGGCCTGCCCATCCCAAACATTTGCTTCTCTGCCCCAAAAACGCTAGCCGAGAAGTACCCATAGATACTGTCCCACCACAAATGAGACACGAAAGCTGGGCTGAACTTCAAAAGGGTTGGTCTTCTCCTCACTTTTCCCATCTCAATACCATTTCAGGTGCCATGGACAAGGAAAAGTCACACGGTGGGTTGAAGGACCCATTGCTGAGTTTCTGGCCCCTGCTTCGTAAGGGCCCACCCTCCAAAAGCTGACGTGGACAGTGGAGCAAATGTTTGGTGGAAAGAGAGATCATGCAGGTTGAGCAAACAAATCATGTTTCCTAGTTGGACCGGGAAGGATGACGTTCTAATGAAGATGATTCCAGCCCAATTTAACAATGGAGAAATTGGCACCGGGGAAGACTTTCTGCTTCCCTAAATGACTGAATTAGCTGGAAAGGGTTGAGCAATGGAACCAGAGAAGCAACTGAGGCAGGCATGGGAAAAAAAAAAAAAAAAGAAGGGACAGCAATTATTTAGAATTGAGCAGGAAAGTTTAAAAAAAAAAGAAAAGAAATACAGGTAGTCCTCAACGTACAACAGTTCATTTAGTGACCGTTCAAAGTTACAACGGCACTGAAAAATGATTTTCACATTTGTGACCATTGCAGCATCCCCATGGTCACGTGATCAAAATTCAGATGCTTGGCAACTGGCATGTACTTAGGACGGTTGCAGTGTCCCGGGGTGACGTGATCCCCTTTTGCGACCATCTGACAAAGTCCATGGGGGAAGCCAGATTCACTTAACAACCGGGTTACTAATTTAATAACTGCAGTGATTCGCTTAGCAACGGTGGCAAGAAAGGTCGTAAAATGGGGCAAAACTCACTTCAGAAATGTCTTGCTTAGCAACGTAAATTTTGGGCTCAATTGTGATCGTAAGTTGAGGACTACCCGTAACCACCATGGCGAAGATACAACTGAAACAGAGCCAAAACTAACTTTAAACCAATTCAAATCAATTCGGTATTAAAAGCTAAACATAAATTATAATCAAAAGAACCATAATTTCAAAAGAAAATGCATTGAAAAATTAAAAAAAACAACAAACTTTGCCAATTAAAAGAAAATTGTTACATTAAATTTCAAACAGGACCATCAGCTATTAGTTCTTAGAAACTAATTTCTATTCAAAATAAAAAATAAAAAAGAAGAAGAGAGAAAGAGAGAAAAAGAGAAAAAAAAAACACACTTCACTGCTGGGATTTCAAAGAAAAAAACTCACAAGTAGCAATACTACTGTACAAAAGTGTGAACAAGGAGGCCAAAATGTACGCGGGAAAAACAGTGTTATATACCTTGTTTTTTTTTATGAACGGCCACAATTTGCCCTTGGACTTGCTTGAAAATCTGGATTCAGATTTGCCCTCTTTGGAGTTGGAGAGACTGGATTCCGAAACGGCTCGCTTGATCGGCTGGGTGAAGTCTTCAAAGTCGACGTCTCCCGGAGGTTCAAAGCCGGATTTGAAGGCGTCGATCACCAGCTGAGAGTCCTGGACGGGACACACAACGGCAGAAAACAGGGTCACCGATTGGGGATCTGGACCTCAAGAACTTAGAGGAGCCAGCAAGGATGCAAACGATCAAGGTCTCCGGGTTAGGATTGTCCCAAAGGTGCTTTTTCAAAAGGCTGCTGGACACGCTTGGTTTTTTTCCTTGAAGAGGAAAATTCAGAGGCTTGGCAACTGACATGTACTTGTGACAGTTGCAGCATCCCGGAATCACGTGATCGCCTTTTGCGACCGTCTGACAAGCAAAGTCCCTGGGGAAGCCACTTAACAACTGTCTTAACTAATTTAACAACTGCAGAGGTTCATTAACACCTGGGTAAAGAAAGGTTGTAAGATGTGGCAAAGCTCAATGAACAAATGTCTCGCTTAGCAATGGTAATTTTGGGCTGAATTGTGGCTGTAAGTCGAGGACTAGCTGTTGCAGTGCCCAGAAGGGTTTGAAGCAGGGCGGACTAGCGTTAGTCCTCAATTTGCAACCACTGTCGGTACCCTACTGCGATGAGAACTGATGGTAAGTCACTTTTTCTCCCTTGTAACTCCTAACGGTCGCTAAACAAATGGTCGTAAGCCGAGGACCACCCATCAGACCCTCGTCATCCATTTCTACATCACTTGTGCGGAGGGTGAATTGCTCTCCACTTTGGAAGAAGCAACACTCGGGATGCTGTTTACCCCAAAAGTGAGGATGTTCCCAACTCTTCCAAATCTTTACAGGACAGGAAGAGGAAGAGGAAACGAAGGGCGGAAAAGGTCTGAACGGGAGGGACAAAGAAAGCAACGGGAGCCACATCCTGACTGTTCTGCCTCCTCTTTTTCCAAACTTTTGAACCCTTTGCTTTATCTTCTCCAAGCCAGGCCACATCCTCCACCCTGGCTTTCAACCTCCTATCACGGCAGTGGGGCCAAACGTGGCCAGAGCCGGCTTCGTCCGAGGGGGGAGAGGAAACAGGAAACCAGCAATCCAGAGCAAATTCACTGCTCTCAGCTTTCTAAGTTTGTACCGTTTAAAATCTGTATCTACATCCTACACATCTCTGTCCTTGAGAGACGTCACAGGGGTGGCCCCCTCTGGCTTGCAGGAGATGAAATGCAAGGAGTCCTCAGCTTACGTCCGAAAGTGACGCCAGAACGTCCATTGCTAAGCAAAATGATTGCTGAGCGAATTGCGCTTGACTGTATGAATGCTTTTGTCACGATCGTTAAGCGAATCACTGCAGC